CCAGAATACAATGGTTAACGTACGCTATAATCTTTTTGTAGCTGATGAGTCGTCAGTATCAGCTTTTTTTTTTCTTACTGTTATTATACAGGGTTCATAATAAATCCAGAAACATTGGACACTTTGTGGACACCGGCCGTGAAAACCTATACACCACGACCTCTGAGTTACTTTATGTACTTTAGAAAATTTTGATATAAAACTCGAGCATCCAGATCTTTTTGTGTACTGTGAATGAGCTTCATTAAGAAAGAACTATTGAAATCTGTGGCTGATCAATCAAAATAGGCTCAGTGTTTCAGAAGCCTCAGAAATCGTTGGTTTCAACTTACTTGTTGGAGATCAGTTGAATTTGGAATTCACAAGCATTTCTCGAGAGCCTGTTTTCCGTACGTCACTGGCAAACACCAGAAAATTCCGATCGCATTGCCACGAAAACAAGATACATGACTTATACATTAACTTTTATTAAAATTGATGCCAATTCCACGTTGGATGCCTCGACAAATTATATAAATCATTGTGTACATAAAAAGTTAAATAAGTTATTGACTTTCTACGACAATTAACCTATATTTTATGTAAATCATCGCCAGCAATCTTCATTCCATCAAATCAATTATTCTTCATCAGAGCGAATTCAGCTGGTCTGGTTTTGTGTGAACATGATTACTCGATAATTAATTTATTCGAGTTTAATAGATACGCGAGTGAATTCAATATTGACTGATCTAGATTAAAATTGATTTGATTATTTTCATGCAATAATTTGGAATGCAGATGATTACAACTGTTTTTATCGAAACTCTTATGAAACAGTTTGTAATTTTGATGCTTATACATTTTTTTTAAGTTAAAATTAGAATAGAGCAAAAGTACTGACTCCATCCCTGCGTTTCGTACACCAAGTTAGCATCATCAGGAGATGACTAGAACTGTTTTAGTTATTTTATGATATTCTTGAAACTCCTTTTGAAGTACAAAGAAACTGAATATTACTGGAGTTTTTTCCCAACACTAAACCGTTATTCTAACACCTCGACAACTGTTTCGATCACCAAGTGATCATCTTCAAGAGGAAGACAGTTCGATTGAATCGAAAAAACTTCTGAATACTACTTACTCACATATATATATACAATCGATCGCTTCAAAAACGCTTCACAAACTTTCTTCGATAGCTTCTCAGAATTCCTGTTCCATATTCTTTGTTTCACTATCACTGTCGTCATTTAAATTAATAATTAATTGATTTCCACCATTAATATTGAAGTGTCCAATCTCCCTATAGTCTTTTTCAACTAAAATTACTTTTTTAATCCTTTTCTACCAGTCTTCTTCGGTAATATCAGATACTTCCTCAATGACCTCTATTACCTTCTTATCAGATTTTGTTTGCATGCGTGTTAGTCGTACATATTCTTGAACCATCAGTCCACCCTTTCGTAACTATGTCGTGTGATACCAAGTTTACCACTCTGGAAAATGTCTACGTTGTTATCACACTCGTTATTACTATTAGTATTTGCCCAACGACGCCACATTTGGAACAGATAACAAAAATTTAAAGTAATTATTACTGCACCGATATCAAATTTCAATACTCAAATCGCGATCAGTTCCTGAACTGAACACAACGGCGATAACCGTCCCCGCATTCCCTGATTTCTATTGGTCAACGTAGCATGGCTTCAAATTCAATTTTATGACTCTTTAGCCAATCATAAAACTCGGTTGGTCAAAATTATCTCATACGAACCGCCAATTCTACAGTCTACGAGACAGATATAGGTACCTAGAATAAATCTAATCTCCGCGGCCTCGCTGACAATTTTCCTCGTCAAAAAATGAATTGCAGCTGAATCAAGCCATATAAATATTTATTATTTGCTCATTCTCGTTCCCGAGAAATGAAATCCGAGTGCTAAACCTTAACCACACCACGATCATAAATAATCGGTCAACTAGAAAGTGACAAGTTAGTGACTTATGCATAAGCCCCAAAATAGACGACGGTGATTTTCCTACTTCAGTAAACTTCGTAAAAAGGTATACCTGCTTTTACAGCCTCGATATCTCCCTTCGTGGTTTTCCGCCGGCGTTCGACCGCTGCCGCCTTCGATTACAATGAGTGCACTATGAAAAGTTGCAAAGCCCGTCTCTGAGTGTTAGTTCAGATTTCGTGTTGGAGGAGTAGATGTGTAGTTTCGTCGGAAGCCACGATTTTTCGTATATATCTCTCATCTGGAAACTAATTTGTGCTGTGTAAATATTTAGCTTGTTTTTAATGCGGTGCTAAATGATATAAATATATGACTTGTGTTTTGTGCTCGAAATACCATGGATTATAGAGACGTGTCTTCTGTCAGGTCGCTTTAAAAGGTGAGGACTTTTCAATGAATATGCACTCATATACAAATTAAGTGAAATACTGTGTTTGTGAATCGGTTCTGTATATCGTACACTTGGAATATCTACAGTTTGTTTTACTGGGTGGTAAATAGAGCGTGGAGAGGTTATTTTTAGTGTTGTTATTGCAATTGCTAGCCTGTCAGTTTCGCGTACAACAAAACTTGAATTTGCAATCACAGGCTTGAAAGACATTGGTTGTATTCAAAGAAATATCAGAAGAAGAATGGATATTAGTTTTTCTAGAGCAGTGAAAGTAAAACGAGATATTGATTATGAAAGATTTGTTTTGTACTTATGGAAACAGCTGATTAGTAATGCAATTATCATTATGATTATGCTTTGTTTGTAACTGTTTTGATTTACGATTCAAATAGTGAATAAATTGAATAAAATTAATGTGCTATAGAAGAATATATAAGTATGTATATATTGAAACAAAACCAATGTCCATGATTTAAATCTTATATTTGAACATCTACTATTCACACCAGTTTATAAAACATGGCTTTAACAACTTTACAGACTTCTCAAAAAAGAATTGTATGTTTTTGTGAAGGATTTTTCATTGATCTTTCTTGGATATTTTCACCTTCCAGAATCAATATTTTTCAGATTGTTTTGCAAAACTCAGTGTTGGGGATTTTCAATCTGAACTAAATCATTTTGCCTTCTTTACTATGCATAACGTAAACGATGAAACAGGAATCCATTTGATGTGATTTAATGGAAGAGCAAATAATGATTGACGGTGACCTCAAATTTGTTTGACAGGATCTGAATTTGAATTCTGCAGGTTGTTAGTTTGTGGGCTCAATATTCTTCGATTTTAAGTTCCTTGTTCTATAAATTCACCCACTGCTAGTAATAAAATCAATTATCATTATTATTAATGATAATAATGATAATGCATGAGCCCTCGGACTCATACAAGCTAATAAGTATGATGTAGTCCTTCTCGACCATCAAAGTGGGACGATTTTTCTCGTGGAGTTTTCAGTTATTGGCGAGAAGATTATCGTCTGAAAAGAGGTGGAAAAGACTCTATCCAGACCATTCTGTCAAGATGGTTGTTCTCATTATTGGAGTCTTTGGTGGAATGATGCCTGTCCTCTCTACTGTCGAATCTCAAAATCATACCGGCTTGCCGCATAAGGGCAGAAATCTTAGTCGGACAGATGCAGAAGGCTGTCATTTTTGCTCAGGGCACAGGATTCTCGGACCTAATTATCGCTTACCTCACGGTGTGTGGAGTGGTCATTGGTTGATAATGCTGGCGCGCCCTCCCGAATGTATCGGGGCTTCGGGGGTTAGGGCCTGCCAGCGCATACCACAGTAAAAAATTAATAATAATATGTTTATTGTCGCATACACTGATTTAAATTACATGGAGTGCTACCGAGAATAAACAAGATAATCACAGGAGCCATAGAAATCTATATCTTGTTCGTGATAAGAGTATATTGTGAATTAAGTTTGTAAATATTCAATACTTGATATAATGAGTGATGATATAATGAGTGATCAATCAATTAATAACCTTAATAACAGAAACAGTAGTTACAGACGGAATACATAGTGATTTTCGTCTACTCAACAATTGCTTAGGTTAAATTGCTGTTTGGATTATATTGATTAACAAAATCAGAAAAGAAAGCTCTTTCTGTATTCAGAATGAATTTCTTTACTTTTCTTTCAAACATGTGAGAACTGTTGATATTTTTTATCTTTCCCTGGTAATATTTGGTATAAGCGCGGTCCGAGATATGTTGCGTTTCATTGTCCTATGGTTTTGCTACATCGTGGTGCATTTAAAAAGTTTTCCTTTTTTCCAGTATTGTAGAAGTGGATGATTGGTTCTATTTTGATGTTTCCTTGTTTCAAATCACTGAGTATTATTGCCTTAGATTACTATTTTATCCGCAGTGGTTATTTCAGTTGATATCTGTATTAAAAGTATGAATCACAGTTTCAGAGTGACTCAAGGTTCTAATTTGGGCCATCTGTTATTCATTCTATTCTCGATTCTCTTCATTATGGTCCAGTTCAAAGTATGAATACTTCATCTTCCTCTTCTACTTACATTTTCCTAGTTATCAGTAGTTCGCTTAACATAATATTTTGTAAATTTCAAGCTAATTCAAATTTCCAAGTTATCGTCCTACCTTCTCCATCTTACCAGTCTTTTTTGAATAGGAAAGTACAATTCTAAATAGCTTTTTGCCATTACAATGGGGAATGTTCCTCGTGACGAAAATCAAGTAGTTTTCATAAAAGAGCTCTAAAACAACGCATTTTAAACTCATCATTTCAACCTCTTTCTTTAAAAAATTATTTAAATTCTTTAAAAAGAGGAATGAAACAATGCATTCAACATTTAAAGGGATTCGTTTCTATTTCACCATTTGGCAACATCGGTTATAGCTAATAAAGGACAATGAATCTGTTACCTGTATCAATATTCCTCGGGTGCTGGCAAAATAATATAACAAACACTCGAGCAAGAAGTGTTCCTTTTGCCAATTTCGTTAGCAATTTCCTCAAACAGAAGGCTGGCGGCCGTAATTATAAAGTGTGTAGCACCTTGTTAAGGAACAAGTTTATTGTTAAATACCTTGTTTATTACGATGTTTTAAACATCTGCTGGAGGTGGAAGGCAAATCTTTTATTGAATCATAAGTGACGTGCAGTGCTGCAAATTCATAAATGTTAACAAGAACGGGTTTATACAAAATTAAGCTTTATTGTGTGTTCAAAATTACCGTAGAACTTATTGAAATATAATAGTGAAACAGCGGCGTTGGGAAGGAAATACTGCAAGCGTGAGAAATTCAAGAAATGTAATTAAGGTACAGCAGTCAAATAAGGCCCACTTGACTGTTTAATTGATAATATAAACATTATTTCTACGAATTATTTATATATTAAAGCTTGAACTTGAACTTGACTTAATCCATTTGAGAGAAGGCCCTGGATATACTTGCCTTATTTGCCGCATGTGCTTTAGTGATAAATTAATAGTTTATTAATAATAATGATAAAATAGAAACACATACAGTGTTTTTGTTTAGTTATGGCAGAAGTTCCATTTCTATCTATTAAGTTAGATACTGTGTTATTTTAGGTAAAGTAAAAGGGAAATCTTCGAAAATAATAATGGAAAATGTTGTACATCACACACCAAATGGAATATTAATGAAAATATAATTGAAGGGCCACTAAAATCTTTGAAACATCTGAAATTTTTCTGAACTCAATTTCTAATGTTTTTGAGAATAATATAAATATTGTAAGTAATCCAACTGACAAAATGATACATGTAACTATATGTGACTATATTTATGAAGTTTCGAAGGCAGTTGACAAAAAAATCACAGTTTCAATGTTGTTTGTAGATGGCTCCAGAGCATCTGATTATGTGATCATGATATCGACATAAAGTCGATGTTGGGGTACCTCCAGGTTCAGTTTTGGGACTCACCTTATTCATAGTTTATATAAATGATCTGCTTGAAACCACGAAAAAACAGCTAACTAAATTGGTAGCCTTCACTGATACTAATCATTTGTTTGTCACTGAAAAAACTTCAAATTGCCACAAATCAAGCCGAATTAGTGTACACATTTCACGAACATGAGAAATTATGTATGGATGGGTTAATAAGAATATGATATACCTACCTAAATGCAAACAGGAGTACCTTCGACAGTGAAAGAACAATTTGGGCTGTTAGACCATGTTTGAAATGGAACGTTTCGTGTTGCACTGCGGCAGACATCTTCAGTGGTGTATGTAACACTGATTGAATCAAATTAATCACACACTTTCGATCATGAATAACATATATTGATCGATTGAACAGAAAATATTGAACTATTTGTATTTGTCATTGAAAGTAACTTGAAATGGAATAATCACGTCGGCTTTTCATTTGTAGCAAGGTATACTGAGGAACTCATATTTCTGATGATTTCATTCTAACTGAGAATATGACGTAATGGACTAGGAGATTTCTTCTGAGAAAATTCTTTGAATCCGAAAAGAAATGATCATATTCATGTAACTCGAAACAAATAATCATTGATATCACCAAAACATTCAACAAGTCTTTACCAGAAAGGAATTCATTGCAGTGGATGTAGCTTGGAATGTAGGCTTTACAATAAACTATCTGAAACAATTGAGGAATGTTCAAGTCAAACAAAAATCAAGAAACTGCTAAAACGTGTTGTCGAATTTTTCTCAGACTTCTATTACTTGTTTTTACTTATTTTTCACATCAGTAAGTAATTTTCAACGTCTGTCGGGTGATAATTTTATGTATTAAGTGGTAGAATTCTAAATGGCAGCCACTTTAGAGACCAATACAAAATTTTCTCTAGTAGTATTCCGTCCAAAACAGTTTACCAATGAATATTTTCAACTGCCTGTCTAGTGATCTTTGTCAACAACAAATTTTTCCTCCCTGCATTTCTTTCTTCAAACGCCGGTTTAGAACGCCATGGGCCCCTAATCGGAACCTTGAGGTATCCCAGCGTGAAACAGACGCCAGTGTTTCCTAAACCACAAATCGCTACCGTCTAAGTATACGTCGACCTTCCATTAGCCGTCCTGTGGGTCTGCCCACTTTCGGCGAAAATCCTCCGACGAGATAATCCGTCAAGACAGCGTCTCCCCCAGGCGTCTGCTTCGTTCAGGGGGCACGTGTTGAGTTAAATGAGCGTAGCGTGCACTGACCATCTAAAGACCTAACGAGGGTCATGCTTCACCTCGACGAAAACGTACCGTGCACTTCGCCTCCCTTTCGATCTAGTTCACTGTGCTCGGCAATGCAAGCCGTAGCACCTGCCGTAGTGGACTAACGTTTATGATTTATTCGCCTGGGAGATTGTTTTTGGCCGTTCTTTACTTTTCTTTACTTCGCTGTGGATGAAAATTGTGGGTTTCATCGATTGGATAATAGCGCTTTTGT